TTCTGAACTGGGGATATAACCCAGTGGCAGAGCACTTGCCTCACATGTGCAAGGCCCTGGATTTGATTCCCAGCATGGCAAAAAAAAAAAATCTATCATGATATATGAATCGTATTTATGTGGAGAACATCAGAGCATAATGAGGACCAGCCTAGGCACTGGAATCAGGGGCTCACCCAGTCATCCACTAGCTATAAGACTTTGGTAAGTTCCACAGCTTCTGAGCCTAGTAAGGATAGGAACTACATCACATGAATGCTTGTATTAAAAGAGGCAATATGCAGGAAGTGATTGGCATATTCCTGTAAGCTTTGAACTAATTGTGGGTGAAATTCAGTGTAATATAATGGTCTGTGCTGTTTTGGTGGTGAGTTATCTCTGCTTCCACATTTCCTAGTGAGTGGTAGTGCAACTGCACGTATTCACATCTGTACAGCATCACAAAATGATAAAATGGTCAACTGATTTTCTTGATGATAAAGCTGCCTCCATCTGCAGACATCCTCTTTCTGAAAAATGCTCCTTTGTGGTGGTTTTAATGTCAATAATTAGAAGATAATTATCTAATACGTATAAAATTAATTTTTATCATTTCTACTTTTGAATATGTACCCAGAAGTTCAGTTTCAAAAGTCCTATTAATAAGCCTGCAGGATTAATTACATAAGTCTTTACTGATTATAGAGGTATTTTATGATTTAATGTAATTCTTAATCCATACAACACCTATACAAGGAAGCTGTTAAAATACTGGTTGTACATGTGAGAAAGCTTCACGATGTGCCCTTAGACAAACAAGTCATATGCACAAGAAATGGGTTCATACCTTAGGCAATGCCATTGCACCAGCTCCTGGTAGCTATAAGCCCCTGTGTATTGGAAATGTTAGAAAGTTTCAGGATCATTTGATACAAACTGGAGGGAATTCACTAATTAAGTAAAGTGAGAAGTAGTAAGAGGCTCACATTTTGGGTGGCTCATGGCCACTATGGTGGGCGAGAGCACTCTACTTTTCAAAGGCTTGTTCCTGGAGTATTTGTTTGTGGAGGGTGTTCATCACACTTTATCTGGACACACACGGGCAGACAGGTGACAAAACTGCAAATGATAGCCAGTCTGTAAAGCTTACAGGGAGAACCCCAAGCAAAATTATTCTTTACTGAAGGCTACCTTAAAGGGATAGAACTACTTAACTATTTTTTCTATTTTAATTATTTAATTTTTGTTCATATTTTCAGAAATAAACAAATGGATTTCAGATCAATCACATGAATTATGTGGGTTCGTGTGTGAATATGTGTACCTGAGTCTGTATGGCTGTACCTCACATATTTTCAGCTCAGTGGTTTCCTTTGTATTATTTTTAAGATTAAACCACATCATTGGAAAAACTGTGCACAGTTCTTTGTAGTAACTGAAATTATAGTTGTTATAAATACCGTATTAAGGTATTCCAAAACAACTGACAGTCTAAAGCCTTGGGTTACTTGTAGCAAGTTCAGAAACTCTCTAGAATAGCAGAAATGAAAACTGTTAAGGCCAAAGTTACCAATACTTAATTATCAAAATAACTTTACAAAATATTAAAGGGCTTTCTTGAGATGATAACACCAAAAGCTCATCTGGAAATTAACCTATCAAAGGTCTTTTCCAGGGGTGGGTACCAGTGGGAGAGGGATGGAAACAAAGAAATGAGGAATGATGGTGACTAAATATGGTGGATGTATTTTGTATCCATATGTGAAAATAGAAGAATGAAACCTATTGAAATTGTTCCATGAAAGGGAGAGAGGGAAGAGGGAGAACAATGGAGGGAGTAAATCTAGCTAAGATATATTGTAAGTACATATGGAAATATCACAATGTATCCCCCCGAACAAGTATTATGTGCTAATAAAATTTTAAAAATAAAAATAATTAACTTATCAAAATGAATGAAGTCAAACTATTTCACATACCACACTCCACAACATTTATTTGGCACATTTATTTAAATATCCAGCAGGTTGTGGGGGATAAATGATGAACAAAACAGATCGAAACAAGAACAAAACAAAAAATCCTGGCCTTGGTGCACTTTCATTCCATGAAGACATGAGGTATGGACAGACAGGAAGAGTGCCACATAGAAACTGCTGGAGAGAGGTGTCTGCTTACCTTGTACTTCAGACCTCCTTTGAAATAGCCCACAAAATCAGTAGATTCATAGCCTTGAAGTTCTCTGTTCTGCACTGGTTTGCCACCCAAATAGTCATCCATCTGGACAGTGAAGATGGCAGCTGCTGTGCTTTCATCCTGGGAGCACTCCCGTCCTGAAACCAGTAAACAATACCACCATTAAATGCAAGAAAAAAACATGAAGGCAAATCGTTGATGGGAAGGAAACTTTCTTTTTAATTATACATCTATACAACAGTCTTCTGCAGAAAGATCTTTGTCAGAAACAGTATATGATATATTTGGCTAATAACTAAAAACTTGGTTTTGTTCCTTTAAATATTTTTAAAAGAATCACCACTGTCTGAATATGCTTGGGAAAACTATAACAGAGCATTCCAATTAAATTCGGGAAAGCATTCATTTATTAGCCAATGAGATCTAGCTAGGAAAATATTTTGTGATTGGTTTGGCCTCTATTAGCATCAAACTTTAGGCTTCCAATGTCCGTATGATTATGTGGGGGACATGGTTAGTAAGGGACATAATTATGTAACATCACAAAATTGAGAGATTTCTAAAACAGGAAAATGAGTACAACTTGGCTTACCCCCTGCTTTTGAGTCTTTTCTCGTTTCACTATCTTTTGTTTCATACTTTCGTTTGTATGAAATAATCCCTAAAGGAAAATATAGAGTAAAGGAACTATGTGCTAACATCTATTAAATATTAATGCATTTGATGTTATCCTAGAAATTTAAGACACAACATACAACAAATTTTCACAATTCTGAAACAGATCTCATCTAGGCAACTTCACTGAGATGGAAACAATTCCTAAGAACCCATGTCTGCAGTGTACATGAAGATCAGGGCAAAGACACTCTAGTGCCTTGAGGAAGACTCAAAATTAAAAAAGTGAAATCCCTTCTACGTATGAGGTATATAAAAACCGTAACTGATTCTAGAAATAATAGCTGACATTCATGTATTTATAATACCTTTACTATGGGGCAGACACTGGGCTAATGTTTTACATGAATGATAGTCAAGTAATTCCACAAAGCAGAACTTATTTTTCAGTAACTTTCCTGAGGTTACAGGTAACCCTTGACAGCGAAGGACCCAGACACAGGTCTGTGTGACTCTAAAGGACAGGTTCTTAGGAAGTAAAACACATTAATAGATGTTTTAAATATTCCAACTTTCATTAGTAGTAAAATTTTGTGGGGATCAGGGTATGTTCATTTCCACCACCACCCCCAATAACTAATCCATAAAAGTTTAGAAGCTATGATACAGTTCACCCAAACAACCCCAGAGGTATTCATCAAAATTAATCAATCAACTATATAAAAGAAATAATCAGCCTTCATTAGTTTTTTTTTTTTCCTTCAATTCTGGGCATTGAACCTAAGGACTTATACTTGCTAGACAAGCACGCTACTGCTGAGTCACACCCTCAGCCACAGATTTCTCTACAATTCTCCTTTGACACTCAAAGGGGACCTGGGTAGCAAGGCTCTCCTCAAACAAAAATTCAATAGCTATAAAAGTGCCTGACATGGTAACAACTTTACAAACTTCCTGTGGTCAAAGATAAATATTTAATATATATAATTTTGCAATCTGAAAAAGACATGGATGTCAGTTTTTTATCCATTCTTCCAACTCTGAGAATATCAAAAAAAAGACACAGAAGTAGATTTTGTACACAGGTGCTTTAAGAAAGAATCTTAAATCAAGGTTAATACCAAAGGTGTTAAGATAATGTATGTGACAACATTCTTACTTGACAATAAGTTGAAACATGAATTTCTTCAGGCAGATGTAAATAGATAGGTATGAAGGTAATGAGTGAACTGGAAGTAAGTTATTTAAATCATGCTCATTTGTGGGTGTTTATGTACTGTGCTTGTCCAGGGAAGATCAGTATGAATAAACCAGAGTTCTTGCCTGAAGAGGCTGAGCAGACTTGATAAAGCCAGTATCAGCCTTTGGGTATGAAATCAGAATTGAATCCTACTGACTGTATCATGATGTAATTCTAGCAATTATTCAGCAACACATGGACTTGGTATGTGATTTCTGTTTACCACTTCAATTCTATTTATGAAATCATATTTTGTGACCCTAAGCTGATTTTACTGATGAATGCTATGTTGTATTATGTTGTTTTCTATTTTATAACATTATTTTACACTTGTATATATGTTGTAAAAGTCCTAAAATTGTTTGGGGAATGTAATAATTTTATATACAAAACAGATTAAAGGATTGGCTATAAAACTTGGTTAATCTGGCACTTATTTATGATTTTAAAAACACACTGGCCACATTGGGAATGGAAGAAAATAACCTCAACTTGCTAAGTAGCATCTAATAAAAATACAGGGCAAAGGCAATACTCAATAATGAGGGACTGAATGTTTTACCCAGAAGGTCAAGAACAAAGCAAGGGGTCCACCTTACCACCCTTATTCAGTTTAGTACAGGAGTTCTAATCACTACAATAAGGTAAGAAACAGAAACAAAAAGTGTGTTACAGATTGGAAATGAAGAAATTAAAAATGCCTCTAGTGAAAATAGGATTGTTTATATTAAATTCTAATGAAGCTATAAAAGACTAAAATTAGTCACTGCATTCAACAAGAGAGGATACAAGATAAGTCAATAACAAAAGTCAGTGTCATTTCTAATATAAAAAATGAAACGCAGAAACTGAAATTAAAAATATGTCGTTCACAATTGCCCAAAGAAATATTCAGGTATATATTTAATAAAACACATATGGAATGAGTATGCTGAAAATTACAAAAATGGTGGAAAAGAAATAATTAAAGAAGTCCTAAATAAATGTGAAACCTTAGCACTCATGGACTGGAAGACTCCACAAAATAAAGACATTATTCTTCCCAAATTGATCTAAAGGCCTAATCCATTCTTGTCAAAATCACAGTAAGTTTTATTATAGACATGTTATATAGAAAGGCACAGGCTAGAATAGCTAAAATGATCTTGACAAAGAAGCTAAGGTTAACCTTAGGTTAAGGTTTATCAACAGCTACAGTAATAAAGACGGTGTGGTGTTGGTGTACAGACACGTAGATCGATGTACTCAGCTTCTCACAGGAGTAACATTTTGTAAAACCGTAGTGTGTTTTACTGTTCTATAGTACACTGAAGTTTAAGTGCAGTATTGCACAGAATACCATAGCCAGGATATTCACGTGGATATAATCCACCTATCATGTTCACATTTTCCCAGTTTCACTTGTACTCACTGATGTGTTTGTGTGCGGATCGTTCTTTACAATTCCATCACGTGTGAGTTCACATATAGCCTTCACAGCCGAGATACAGTAGGCCCCCATTACCACAAAGATTCCTCACTGAGCCTTTCGTACTCCTCCCACTGCCTGCCCACTTCGCCCCCCCACTCCAACCTATCTCTAACTACTAGCAACAACAAAATTTTGTCATTTCTAAAATGTTGTATAAATGGAATCATACAATAGAGAGCCATTTTGCACTTTTTAAAGTTTGGCCAAATTCCTGGAGATTCATTCTTGTTGTTGTATATATCAATAGTTTGTTCCTTTTTCTTGCTGAGTAATATTTCTTTGTATAGGTGTATCACATGTTCCTTTTTCTTGCTGAGTAATATTTCTTTGTATAGGTGTATCACAACTTCTCTAGCCAGTCACCTCCTAAAGGGTATCTGGGCTGATTGCAGGCTGGGGCTATTTGATTACACCTTCATGCACAGGTTTTTGAATAAAAATAAATATTAAATAAATGTTCACAAATGCAACTTCTGGGGTCCCCATGTTTAGTTTGTAGGAAACTAAACTTTTTTCCAGACTGCTGTACCATTTTACATCCCCTGCCAAGTCCCACCACTGTAAGTGATCCAGTTTCTCAGCATCCTCCATAGCCTTCTGTGTATTATGAGTTCCTTGTCTTATATATACTATAATCCAGTGCTTTTCCTTTTCAGTGCCTTGCACCAGGCTAGCACAGAGTGATTATAACATGAATTTACGTTTTATGTTGTTTTAAAATATATTTAAGTAACTTTTAAACCTGGCGAGGAGAAAGGGTAAGAGTGGGTATTTTCAACATAGACTGGGGATGTGTTGGAGAACAGCTTAACACCAACCCCTGCTCAAGGACTTGCTGCTGATGGAACCAGAAGCAGAAGGTAGGTGCATTTAAACTGCTAGGTACAAAGATGAAATATTGGCTGGTCACAGCAGTGCATATCTGTAATCCCAGCTACATGGGAGGCAGATGTAGGAGGATCACAGTCCAAGCCTAGCCTAGGGAAAGTTAGCACACAGACTAAAACAAACTAGGTGAAAAGCAAGCTAAAAGCAAAAGGATGGGACTGTGGATAAAATGATAAGAGAGCTTATTGAGCAAGTAGTTGGTCCTGAGTTCAAACTCCAGTACTGCCAAGGAAAAGAAAGAAAAAAAGAAGAAGAAAGAAAGAAAGAGCTGAAATATTTTCTAAGAAGGACTAATGCAAAAAAAATTTTAACTACTTGCAACAACTCTTACTTTCCTTACATTTAAGCATATAAAATGAATGACAGATGATACATAAAAGAATCTGAGCTAAGCCATGGTGTCATAGAAACACTAGGGAGAGACCCAAAAAGGTGGCTCCCCTCTGCTCTCCCTCATTGTAGGTCCCGCTTCTCCCCATTTCCCCTTCCTTCCTCCCACTTGGCCTGTTTCCTCATTTCTATTCTGTGTATTTTTAACTCTTCCTTCAAAGTTCCTGATTTGCTTTAATCAAACATTCCTTCCCTGGAAATTTTCCTCCATCTGTCTTTCTGATTAATCCTCATGGATTCATCCTAATTTAGGTTTTAGAGTAGACTTTTAAATGATATTCAGTTTGCTTGGGAAACTGGAGTAGGCAAGGCTGCTGGTTAACTCCCTCTGAGGCCTTCGTGACTATTTTCCTCTAAGCTTTTTCATCTCCCTTGACCTTGTGTGGCACCAGAACCCTCCCAAGGACCCCCACTTTCACTATTTCCAGCAAGGCTCTGTTTCCCCAAAACCACAGACACTCAGCATCTCCTGTAGAGTGCTTTTACCACACTCTACCAGTGTTATGTCACTTTCTGGCTTATGGCACCTTTGAGATGATAAACTCTCAGAGAAGTTTTATAAATTATTTATATCCCAAAGTGCTTTAACAGTGCTGAGCACACTGAATTTTTACAGAGTGAATAATCTTGTACTTACCATGCTACTGATTTCAGTTTCAACAGACCTTTAAAATCATAAAATATTTCTGCTCAAAACACTTCCTATTATATTTTTGAAATTGGTGAGTGCTAAATGAATAATTAAGAGTTAAAGTGAACCTATAAACCCTAGAAAACATAGTACTTAAAAAACCCACTTGAATAAGAAGGACCTTTCAGAATTAAAGAATGGAGTTCAAAGTCTGAGTGCAGTCTTCTGACAAAATCAAATTTAACTCCTATGTACCGCAAGATGTGGAATTCTCTCACATTTAAATTCACCCAACTGGCAAATGTAGCATTTCAGACTCTGATTCATTCCAGTTCCAAGTTCTGCATGGAAAGATGGCAATGGGGCATCACCGCTCTGGCAACATTTCTGCATGAACACAGAGTGCCTCTCAAGGTTTCAGCATTTACAGCACAGATCTTATGTGTTATAACGTCATGGCAAAAGAGTGAGATTACAAAAGGAAACCATAATGTTCGGAACTCAGCCTCAGCCTCCTCAACCACCCCCAGCAAGCACAAAATTGCAACACCAAGTGCTATAATTAAAAGCTCTCTTTTCCTCTGTGTCTTATTTCTCAAATGCCTGTTCCAGGTGCTTGCTCATGTTTAGGAAGTTACTTTTCAATGTTTTCTTATTTGTTTCTTAAAATCTTCAGATGTTAAAAATTAAGATGTTGGCTTCCAAAGACTTATAAATGTCCATGTGTGTGGTTTGCCCTCTGAGCTCAAGAATAAAAACTAAACCCAAAGAAACACTGCTACAAAGCAGGCAAAGAGGCTCAGATAATCAGCACGTTGTTAGATGGGGCGTGCCCACTGGCACAAGACCTTACAGCGAGAGGTTGGACATTCAGGATGTTTACGAGTAAAAGCAGAAGGTGGAAAAAGTAGAACACACCAGGGCCAGTGTCCTGAAGGCCTGGCACCCGATAGATACAACCCAAAATAATTACTACTGTGAAGGGGTTGTTCTGTTCCCTACTGAGTCCTGGTTAAAATGGATAAATAAAAAATTAACAATTAATAACGAAAACGCCAATCTAAATAAATAAAGCAGCCATATAGACCGATTTATTCACATAGATAACATCTGTAATTCTTCCCCAAACATGCAACCAGTGAATCTTGCTTTAAAAGGACCCAGAGGGGCAATCAGTGGAGAAACACAAGCTGATGCCCCCACGGAGACAAATAAAAAATAATTCAATTTTTTTCAAAGGATGTTTTGCCAGCTGCAGCAGAAGCCCACAAACTTGTTTGACTTCATCTCCACCCTGACAGGGAAACCAGGACTGAACTTGCGGAAAGGTGAGCGGGACTTGGCCAGCACCTGGTTGCGCAGAGGCAGCGGCCCCCGCAGGAAGTGGGGTGTTAAGGGGAAAGGGGGAGAAGGGGAGGAACAAGCACTGAACTGCAGGCAGTGACTACACGAAGGTCAAAGCCAGCGGGGCGAGCCTCCTCCGGTCCTGGCCTGAGCCAGGAGCAGCCTCGGGCGAGGACCAGGTGGCTGGCCGGTGACCTCACCCTAACCCGAGCCTGCAGAGCGCGGAGCCCCGCGTCCGCCTGGCTCAGCCTGGGCGCGATGGGGCCTCGCTGAGGGCGCCGCTCACCCAGCCAGAAGTGCAGGCGGTAGCTGAAGCCTCGGCTCGCCTTGGCGGTGTGCAGCACCAGGTAGGCATCCCCGACGTAGAAGTCGCCGTACGCGCTCTCGGGCACCGGCACCAGCTCCAGTTGCTCGACCCTCCACACCTGCAGCCCCGCCTGCTTGCCCGCCCGGGCGAACTCCGGGTGGTACAGCTCCTGGGCCATGGCTCGCACTGATGATCCGAGAGACACCTGAGCCTGACTAACCCCACACCCGCAGGAGGGACCCGGCCGCCGAGATTTTATAGGGTTCGCACCAGCAGGGGCGGGGCCCAGCCGATGGCTTCCTGGGGGAGCGCAGCGCGCGCCACGCCCCGGCCCGGCCCGGCCCGGCCCGGAGGGGAATCGGCGTCTCGGAATCCGAGGTTCGGAGGGGACTTGGAAAACTCCTGGAATTGCCTCCCCAAAATAGGCATGCTTCCCTCGGCAACAGCTGGGGGAGATGAAGTGCGCGGCCCGCCCGCGCGTGTACCCATCGCCGCCGCTCCTGCCTTGGCTAATTCTGGGATTTCTACGTCCCAGGTGCGGCGGGAACTGCGCGTAAGGAGGGCACGCGCCTGGCGGAGCAGCATCTGCTCCCTATGGCTGTTTAGAACAAGGCTGTCGCTGCCCGCAGCAGCACGCACTGTGGCGCTTTGGCCAGCCCGAAGAATTTTAGTGCCTAGAATTTTAGCGTCTAGAATTTCCTAAACTTCAACTTCATAGCTTCTTCGGCCAGTCTCTCCATTTTTGGTGGCTGAAGTTTCTCTTTCTTTGTCGTGATTTTGCAGCATAGAAAGAAAAAATGCAAGACAGCCTATCCTTTCTTAGAAAGAATAAAACCTCAAAGACTGTCTATCTAGGGGACAGAGCTCCGAGAATCCTCTGGAGTTCAGGAGCTGTGTTTAAATTCTCTCACCACCTTTAGTACAGAAAATTACTGCAACCCTTCTCACCACCATCATCACCAGAAATCGAAAACTGCAGAGGCATGCTCTCAAGAGGGCTGTCGTGGCTGTGGTTTTATGCTTGACCTGCCTTTCGAATTACCTGTTAGCTTCGTGGTGCTAGTTTTCTCATTGTTTGACCTACAGGTTTTGCTTTTGCACTGTGGGCAAAGCACTGTAAAGTAAGAGTGGAAAATTACTCTGATTTGCATTCATTAGATAGAAACTGGCAAAGGATTCTTCTGTTACTGAAAAAATAAAATCACCCAGCGCAACAACAAAAAGAAGAAACAAAGTAAATAAATTTTCTTTTTCTTTTACTGTTTCCCAAGTTGCAAGAATGTCTGGAAAGTCACTAATAATAAGGACAGAGTTAGATTTCTTATTTTTAAGATAGTTATTAATGTGACCACGTTAAAAATTCAAGAGTAAAATGTGCAATAAAATGTTATCAGCATTTCACACATCCACCCAGTTGCTTTCCCCAAAAGCAACTAAGTTCCAATTTCTTGTTTACTTTTTTCCTGAGATATTCTTTCATCAACAAGAATATAGGTGATAGAGCTATTTTTATTTTTAACAGAAATGCTAATAAACACACTTTCTGAACCTATTTCTGTATGTCATATGGCTAAGTATTTCTTAAGTTCAGGAGGAACTTATGAAGCTTCCTGGAAATACCTCAAAGAAGTATTTCCTCTGACAATATTTCCTTTGGGGTGGGGGGAGAAATCCAGTGCTCGTGTATTCATAGAGCTGCTTCTTTTTACTGACCACGTGGTATTCCATTTAATAAATGTTTTATAATTTAACGTGTAAAACTTCATAGGTTTTAAAATTTGTCTGTATTTTGCTATCACCATATTGCTAACACTATTTTAACAAACTGTTATGCATATACATTATTATACTGTGAAATTCATGTGAATGTAATTGTTGGCATGGTTGGGTGTTAGGTTTGATGTGAAGTGTCCCCTAAAAGAATCATGTGTTGAAGGATTGGTCCCCAGATAGTAGATCAATCATTGAGAGGTGACTGGATCACGAAGACCTAATGGATGTATTAAACCACTGATGGACTTTTAATTTGATGGTATTATTGGGAGATGGTAGAATTTAGGAGGTCAGGCCTACTTGAGGAAGCAGGTCACTGGGGAGGTGCCCTGGAAAGATATACCTTGTCCCTGGCCCCTCCCCTCTCTCTGTTTGCTTCTGAGCAGCTCTGCTTTGTCACATGCTTCCACCATATGTTCCATCTCTCCATTGCCCTGCAACAATGGGGCCAAGTAACCCCAGACTGAAAATGTGAACTAAGAAAAATATTTGCTCCTTTTAAATTTTTCTCAGGTATTTGTCACAGCAATGAAAAAACTAACACAGGTGGATTTAAATAGTTTTGGTGGTGATCATGGCAATTAGGAAACCAGTCACTACCATTAGCAATGATAGGCTACGTCACAGATTGCCCAGATTCAGTTCCTGCTGCCATCTTTATTTCTGAGGCTTTCTGCAAATCACTTAACTATGGCAAGCCTCAAGCCCTTATATAAAATGAAGCAATAGTATATGACTACCATTTGAATTTAATAAGTTGACACAAATAAAGCATTTGTGTCTTTTACATAGAAAACACTCAGTAATTCAGAACTATCTCATGGTTGAATCCTCTAGATTCCTTCTCTTGCAGTCTGCACTCTGTGGTCTTCCCTCAAGACTGGTCTGCATGACTAAAGCAACTAAGCTCTGATACCCTCTATCTTGGTGTTGCTTGGAGACCAGAAGACTCAAGTCAGAGTATGTCTTAGCCTATTTTGTGTTGCCTTATCAGAAATACCCACAGATTGCATAGTTTACCCCCAAAAAATATATTTCTGGCAAGGGCCTTCTTGATACATCATCCCATGGTGGAAGACAGAAAGTTAAGAGATCAAAAGAGGGAGGCAGAGATAGAACTTGGTCTTTCGCTCTTCAGCCAGTTGAGCTTGGGCAAATTACTTAACAGTATTGCAACTCAGTTTTCTCATCTGTGGGATGAGAATGATGATAGAAAGTACCTTGTGGGATTGTCAAGAGGATAATGTGGATAAATACATACAAATTGGCACATAGCAGGGGCAGAAAACTCAACTAGGATTAATGAATTATTAATTCACTTCTAATCAATCTATAAGAATAATGCTTCGGATTCTAATTTATATAAGGAACACCCATTCTCTACACAAAAAGGGCCCAAAACTAGATGTCAATTTCCTTTCTATGCCGTTCTATTCTCTCATTCATTCTCCTCTCCCTCCCTCTTCTTCCCTGAAAGTAAATAATTTTCTTCCACATCTGTATATTGGAGTTCTTCTAATTCTTCATGGTCTGATGGAAGTTTCACATCTTCTTCATCATTATCTCCCTGGATCCAGTAAATTGCATCATTCTCTGCACTGCCAACACTTTTTTAGCAGTAGTAGGATTTGAACTCAGGATCTCATACTTGCTGGGCAGGTGTTCTACCACTTAAGCCATGTCCCCAGATAGGGTCTCAAGCTTTTACCAAGGTCAGCCTTGGACTTTGGTCCTCCTACCTATGGCTCCCATATAGTTGGGAATACAGACACCACCACACTTGGCTTGTTTGTTGAGATGGGAGTCTCACTAGCTTTTTGCCTGGGCTGACCTGCAATCCTCTCAGTCTCTGCCTCCCAAGTAGCTAGAATTACAGGCATGTGCCACCACACCTGGCCTCCTAATGTTCCTGATGTGCTTGTAACAGTAGTATTTACCACACTCTGAAGTGAGTTTTCTCTTGTCAGGTCTTCATAGGCTCACTTAGAGGCTTCTGTCTCATTATTTTATTGCCTGGCATTATGGTAATATGTTGAATATGTTGATTAAATGTCAGGTTTGGATTAAGTTACATTTATTTTTTCATCAGTTTACCAATCTGCTTTGCTCAGTGCAAGCAAAACAGCCAATGTAAGTCTTTTAGCAAGAGTTGAGAGGTTTGAGGTATGGGGCCTTGTGAGTGAGTTCAGGGTAGTTGTTCTGGAGCATTAATGGCCAAGGGGACATTTAAAAACTGATGTCAAATCATGGAATACACTCTTTATGAAATTCATTCGAATGGGTTGGTAAAAACAGTTGGTTCAAGTGGTCTTAATTCCTCACGTCACAGAGTCTTCTGAGTTGAGAGGAATCTTACTTTATTTGTGTCGCTGCATCATGACCACAGAATTGTTGAAACTAAACATATTTGAAAGAAAGGAAGTACATCTTTCTTTCCTAGGAGAGAGAAATTCTTTAAGTATGCTATTTGTTTACTCTTCTTTGATTATAAACAATAAAAGAATGCAATTAAAATACATTTCTTTTACTGGCAGTCCTGCTAATCTGAAATAATTTGTATTAGATTTACTGAATCATTTTCAAGTACCTAGAGTCAGAAGATTCGATCAAGGATTAAAAGCCATAATACATGTCAAAATCCCAGCACACCATCAATAAACATGGTTAATAATTAGCAAAGGCCTAGCCTCCAGTACCTACCAAAGCTTTGTGATTATGGTTGGAAATGCTCTTAAGGGAAGTGCATTTACACCCATCCAGCCCAGGGCAGATAAACAAGGTGGTTTTTATTCACCTGTTCTTTTTTGGGTTTTGTGTGTGTGTGTGTGTGTGTGTGTGTGTGTGTGTGTGTGTGTTAAAGCTTAAATCAGAAAGTCAGGATCTTGAACACTCTACTTCATGAATGAGGTATTTAACATTACACATAATATATAACTATGAAAGCATGGTCCATGGGTCACCTCCAAGGTGAAAGTTTTATTGGTCTTCAATGTCTGCTATTTTGATAAATAATTGCTTTTGGTAATCTTGTTTGACACAGAAGATTACAATTGGTTGATTTGGCACTTCCTTCTTAATATTATCATCTATCATTATTATTTTACTGCTACCTGTCAATACTGCTGTCCCCTGTGAAAATACTGAGAGAAGGTATCATCATGATTTTAGATATTAGAGAATGCTTAAGATCATAATAAAGGTTAAGAATCACGATCTCATGAAACTTTATGATTAAAGTGATAATTTTTGCTTTAAGCTAAGATTTGTTTAAAAATAGAAATAAGATGGTATAAAGATACCATAACATTGAGGCTAAAGCTGAGGCAGGCTAGAAGTAGAAAAAGTTTGGGGTTCATGTAGGTTGCCTGGATTGGCAGGCCACCCTCATCTGGTTGGGAACCACCTGTGCCCTCCCCACTCCTTCATTATTGGGTGGG